AATCGAGTAACTTAATAAGTAGTACTTTCGGGCAGACTAAACTCGTACTTATCCCGAAACTGCTTTTTACCTGCTTCAATTTTAGTGTGCACCATTGCCGGAACACCGACAATAGGAATTCTAGAACACCAATCAGGATAACAGACCCCTACATAATAATCAAAAGTGCGTCCATGTAACAGTTGACGACTGCTTATAATATCCCAAAACTTTTTTTTTCTCAGTGTCGTCCCAAAATGAAGAATCGTCCAACAGCCACAATGGATATCCCTGTTGACTAAAAACACAAATGAACAAAAAATTAATTAGTTAAAACTACAAAGAGAAAAAATATTAAAGGATATAACATATTTAACTTGGGGTCGTTGCCCAAGTCCTAGATAAAAAGGGAAAACTCATACGAAAGCCTCTATTCATTGATATAACTTGGCAACGGTTACTATTTAAAAACATTACCCTCTTTGTAAGGCTTAACCATAACTTCAACAATCAAAGAGCGAAAATCCCTACTGTTCGCACATTTTGCATTAAGAAGCTCTGCAAAAAACAAAAATTTCAAATATGCATTTCAAAAACCATAACCAAATAAAATGAAAATAAAGAATGAGTTACAATATACCATTAGCATGTATCGCCTTTTTTACCCAAATAAGTTTGGCTTTATAGTTTACAACCAAGATTCCACACAACAATCTAGTACAACAATAGCCCAAAGAATAGATTTGACGTAATGCTTTTCTAATATCACCAAATAGAGGCATTACTTTAGGTTTAATATAAGTCCACCAATCCTTGATAGCGTAAGACTTTTTCGACTAAATTTTATATTCAGAATCAACCTAAGAGAGAATATCTTTGCTAGTAGCCCACCATCCATGCCTACAATGCATCCACGACTAGAGGAAGAATTTCCACACGCTCCTAATGAAGAAGCTACAATTGTATATCAACTGGTCGTCAAGCTGAATTTCAATATGAGAAAACTTCTTTGTCCACCTCTCTAAATGAAGATTTTGCAATGGAGTTTAGTAGTTTTGACTTTGAAGATAACCGTAGAGCAATGGAGCACTTGGCGACATCGAAGATTTTCAAAGAGAGTAGTTACGTTGTAGACGGTTACTTCGTAGATGGCAATGGAGTTTTATTTGAAAAAGTTGGACAAGATATTTTCTCTTATAGGTTGATTCAATATACCATTAGCATGTATCGCGTTTTTGACCCAAATAAGTTCAGCTTTATGATTTACAACCGAGATTCCACGCAACAATCCAGTACAACAATAGCCCAAAGAATAGATTTGACGTAATGCTTTGCTAATATCACCAAATAGAGGCATTACTTTAGGTTTAATGTAAGTCTACCAATCCTTGATGGCATAAAACCTTTCGATCAAGGATTGGTGGACTTACATTAAACCTAAAGTAATGCATCTATTTGGTGATATTAGCAAAGCATTATGTCAAATCTATTCATTAGACTATTGGTGTACTAGATTGTTGCGTGGAATCTCAGTTGTAAACCATAAAGCCGAACTTATTTGGGTCAAAAAGGCGATACGTGCTAATGTTATATCGAATCAACCTAAGAGAAAATATCTTGTCCAACTTTTTCAAAACTCTATTGCCATCTACAAAGTAACCGTCTACAACGTAACTACTCCCTTTGAAAATCCTCAATATTTCCAAGTGCTCCATTGCTCTACGATTATCTTCAAAGTCAAAACTACTAAACTCCATTGCAAAATCTTCATTTAGAGAGGTGGACAAAGAAGTTTTCTCATACTGAAATTCAGCTTGACGACCTTGCAGTTGATATACAATTGTAGTTTCTTCATTATGAGTGTGTGGAAATTCTTCCTCTAGTCGTGGATGCATTGTAGGCATAGGTGGTGGGCTACTAGCAAAGATATTTTCTCTTAGGTTGATTCTGAATATAAAATTTGGTCTAAAAAGTCTTACGCTATCAAGGATTGGTGAACTTATATTAAACCTAAAGTAATGCCTCTATTTGGTGATATTAGCAAAGTATTACGTCAAATCTATTCTTTGGGCTATTGTTGTACTAGATTGTTGCGTGCAATCTCAGTTGTAAACTATAAAGCCAAACTTATTTGGGTCAAAAAAGTGATACATGCTAATGGTATATTGTAACTCATTCTTTATTTTCATTTTATTTGGTTATGGTTTTTGAAATGCACATCTGAAATTTTTGTTTTTTGCAGAGCTTCTTAATGCAAAATGTGCGGACATTAGGGATTTTCGCTCTTTGATTGTTGAAGTTATGGTTAAGCTTTACAAAGAGGGTAATTTTTTTAAATAGTAACTGCAGCCAAGTTATATCAATGAACAGAGGCTTTCGTATGAGTTTTCCCTTTTTATTAAGGATTTGGGCAATGACCGTCATGTGCAAGTTAAATATGTTTTATCCTTTTGATATTTTTTCTGTGTAGTTTTAACTAATTAATCTTTTGTTCATTTGTGTTTTAGTCCACAGGTGGATATTGGGACGGCACTAAGAAAAAAAAAAGTCTATAAAAAAATTTTGGGATATTATAAGTAGTCGTCAACTGTTACATGGATGCACTTTTGATTATTATGTAGGGGTTTATTATCCTGATTGGCATTCTAGAATTCCTACTGTCAGTGTTCCGACATGGGTGCACACTAAAATTGAAGCAGATAAAAAGTAGTTTCAGGATAAGTACGAATTTAGTCCGCCCGAAAGTACTACTTATTAAGTTACTCGATTCTATAGGTCAATGATAGAGCACTATAATGACCATCTTGAAGTCGGTGAGGTATACTTATAAATTATATTTACCTCAGGCAATTTGGATATTTTTATTTTATTTTAATTTAATTTTTTAATTGTAGGTGAGGATTGAGAAGAGTCATATCAGCTGTATCGCTGATGCAATTTTCAATGGTGCTTCTCCTGTTCTGCGACACATAGGTGCTCAAGTTTGGTATTATTCAAGTGTGAATGTTACTTGGTATTTTTTTTTCCCTCTATCTATTGTTGCTCGTTTGTTGCTCTTTTTTTCTTTCATAATTTTTATCTTTTATTTTGCAAGATTGCTTTTATGGATTTCTTAATGAGCGAAATTGATTTCTAAGATTGTTAAGAAAAATGTTTTTTTTTTTTTAAGAAGATAAACTGAATTCTATGACAAATTTAAAGTAGGGATTTGTTTCTGTTTTATGTTTGTAATTTTTTTTTCTGGAATTAGTGGGATTGCAGTCACGTCAGTATGCTTTACAATTCATTTCAAGGTTTTTGCACTACAACAAACTACACATTTGGCAACTAAATTTGGCGTCCAAAAAAATTTTAGTCGCCAAAAGTTTTTTTGTGGCCAAAAATAGCACTTTTGGTGACTAAAATTTCTTTTAGTTGGCGTTGGTTGAAGGTTTTTGCTACTATATTATTTTAGTCGAGATATAATGTTTACTGGCGACTAAAAAAAAATTTTAGTCACTAAATACAACGAAATAGGCGACTAAAATATTTTTAGTCGGTGTTAGTCAAAATTTTAGGGTACGAATTCTTCATTTAGTCACCGTATAGTGTTATTTGCCGACAATAAATTTAGTCGCCAAATAATGGGGACATGTAGATGAACTTTTAATGACTAAAATAACTTAGCCGTTGTATATTAAATTTTTGTCGACGAAAATAAAAATTAGTAGCCAAATGTTAGGTTTGGCTACCAATGTTTTAGTCGCTGTCTACGAAGCACGGGTGCGGGTGCGGGTGCGGATACGGGTACGAGTGCGGGTACGCCGATACGGCAAAACCCCAAAAAAGTATGATACGGATACGGCTGCGGTACGCTAATATTTTTTTTATTTTTTTTTATAATTATGGTTATAGGATCCAACCTACAAATTAAAATTAAATATCAAAATATATATTTCAGTGACAAGTATGACAAGAACAAGGACACTACAACACCTTTCAATCTGATTCCCATATTGGCCTACAAAGTATCTCCCAATTTTAGTTCATGAAGGACAATGAAACAATAACCAATCATATCCACCCACAACATCAAGCATTGCAAGGAAATTAACCAATGTGGAAACAGACAGATAACTTAACTCAAAACCAATGGTTATGCATCACAAATGAATGCTCTGTTTTTCAGTTACAAAACCCCCATCCCTCCCCCCTCAAAATAAACTGCTACAAAAGAGAATTTAAGGTGTCAAGGGATTTTAATTTGTCATCAAGCTTTACAACCAATATCTTATTCATATATATATGACATATATCAGAAAAAAATTAAAAAAAATAAGGACAGATCTTAGTTCAACAAATCTAGACAGATTTTAGTTCAAAAATCTGGACATATATCAGAAAAAAAAAATAATAATAAGGACAGATCTTAGTTCAACAAATCTGGACAGATTTTAGTTCAAAAATCTGGACATATATCAGGAAAAAAATAAATAAATAAGGACAGATCTTAGTTCAACAAATCTGGACATATATCAGAAAAAAAAAAAAGAGTTCAAGAAAAATGAAGAAAAAGATGAAGGATCAAAGAAAGAGAAAACCAAAGAGGAGAAGAATCGATCGTTTGCAGCGAAAAAACAACACAAAAATCTAGAAAAAAAAATGAAAGAAAGAGGATAAAGAATCGAAGAAGAAAAGGGGAAAGAATCGAAGATGAACTTACCCCTTCAATCGCACCTTCAAAAAAATAATAATAAGGACAGATCTTAGTTCAACAAATCTGGACATATATCAGAAAAAAAAAATAATAATAAGGACAGATCTTAGTTCAACAAATCTGGACATATATCAGAAAAAAAAAAAAAAAAAGAGTTCAAGAAAAATGAAGAAAAAGATGAAGGATCAAAGAAAGAGAAAACCAAAGAGGAGAAGAATCAATCGTTTGCAGCGAAAAAACAGCACAAAAATCTAGAAAAAAAAAACGAAAGAAAGAGGATAAAGAATCGAAGAAGAAAAGGGAAAATAATCGAAGATGAACTTACCCCTTCATCGCACCTTCGAAGGAGAGAATCAATTAGCAGCACCTTCGATTAAACCTTTCAATCGCACCTTCAAAGTGTTCTTCAGACTCTCTTGGGAGTATTTCTGGAAGGAGATGATCGAATAGACATGGAACCCTAGCACCTTCAAAGTTCTTCAGTCTTGGAGTATTTCAGAATGAGATATGGAAGGCGCTGAGATGATCGAATGATAGAGAGAATAAAGAACCCTATATTAATTTGGTTTCATGTTTTATTTATTACAAAAGAACCCCAAATTTTTACAATTCTTTAAAATAGACACAAAAAATTGCTCGGAGTACCCTTTAATTTATAAAAAATCTCATTTTTTACCCCGGAGTACCCAAAACCGTACCCATGGCGTACCCATCAGTATACTGACCGTATAAAACGTACCCGGTGCGTTTTTGGTGTACCCGGTACGCGTACCCGCACCTGGGAAATACCCGGTACTTGTACGGCAACATTTTTGGAGTACTTGTGCTTCGTAAGTCGCTATTAATGAACATTTACCAACAAATAAGAATATGGTCGCTAAAAATTCCAAATATTTTTTTAGAGGGAAAGGCATTATATTGGCGCCTAGTATCCTATTGACACAAACACTTTTTGAGTTCTATTCGGTCTCACATAAACACTTTAGAGAGGTGGATAAAGAAGTTTTCTCATACTGAATTTCAGCCTAACGATCTTGCAATTCCTATACAATTGTAGCTTCTTCATTAAGTGCGTGTGGAAATTCTTCCTTAGGCCGTGGATGCAGAGTAGGCATAGGTGATGGGCCACTAGCAAACAAACCAGCCCACCCAGAAGATTGTGCCATACCTAATAAAACAAATAAAAAAGAACAAAGTATACGTAAGCTAACAGAGTCAACAATACAAAGGAAAAAGATTGAGGCCTCGAATGTGGCTCGAATTGTTGTTGTTTTTCTTTTTCTTTTTCTTTTTCTTTTTCTTTTTCTCTTTTTTTTTTTTTTGGACTGTGTTGGTTTGGTTGTTTTTATTTGTTTGTTGGGCTGTGTTAGTTTGGTTTTTTTTATTTATTTATTTATTTGTTTGTTGGGCTGTTGTTATTTTTTATTTTTTTTAAGGATGGATATGTGTAGGGGTGGGTTTAGAATTTAGAGTTTAGAGTTTTAAGATTTAGGGTTTAAGAGGTTTAGGGTTTAGGATTTTGGGGTTTAGGGTTTAAGAGGTTTAGGATTTTAAGTTTTAGGTTTTAGGGTTTAAGGTTTTAGAATTTCAGATTTTAGAATTTAGGTTTTAGCGTACACATCCACCCTTCCAAAAAAAAAGCCCCAAACCAAACCAACATAGCAAAAAAAAAAAAAAAACCAATTCAGGGAAAATTCGCGCCTCTCTTTTCGAGGGCTCTAGCACGGCTCATAAAACAAATACAAATAATAAACATAATAATAGTGGATGAGCAAATAAACATAATCAACAAGAATATCATTACAAAAAATACAACAAAATAATTACAAACAATATAAAAACAATCCCAATAAGAAACAATATAAACATATAAAAAGGGGCAAAACTACAGTGGCAAACAGCTAACAACAAAACACACAATGTAGATGATGATAACATAACAGATAGAACAGAGCATTGTTGTTACCTTTTCATTAATCATCATAGCACCACCATCGGACAATAGAAGAAAAAGCAGAGAGAGAGAGAGAGAGAGAGCAAAGAGAGAGCAGAGAGAGAATAAAGAGAGAGCAGAGAGAGAGAGAGTACCTAAGCAGCGAGCAAAGGCGAGCGGAGAAGACCGGCAAGGCTATAGGTGGCGACCGGCAAGACTAGCGGCCGAGCAGGAGGGGAGACAATCTGATGAATGAGATGAGATGTGAGGGTGTGAATTAGGGTGAGACCGTGATGCGGGTTGGTGCAGTTTAGGAGCAAAATAGAAGTCATATGGCGGGTGGCGGATTGATAAAAATGTCATTAGAATTTGTCATTTTTCTTATCAAAAACCGGCGGCTCGGTTGGCAAATAATGGTCGGATTTGTCTTGGCGGTTCGGGCGGATTGGCGGTTTATAAAAAATATAATTAAAATTACAAAACTTGAATCAAAGAGTAAAAAGATGTAATTTATAAATTAACCGAAAATGATTTTTGAACCAATGGGAAAATATTGAGCATTGTAATTCAAAGGGAAAAAAACAAAAAATGATTTGTGAGGTTGTCTGGAATACAAACTTTTAAGCACAAAATTTCACAAATGAAATAAGTAGTAAACAGGGATTCAAAGAAATAGAACAGCCTTGCATTATGACTACTAAAGATTGGCCATGGTCTATGACTACTAAAGATTTACAGCCTTGCATTATTATAACCTCTTTATGAAATAGTATCACTGATGTTATAGAAGTTATAGAACAGAGAGAGCACCAGAGAGAACAGAGAGAACATATATATATATGTGTGTGTGTATATAGAAAATAGAGAGCATCGAGAGAGAGAGAGCGAGAGAGAGCAGCGACAGTACCGACGAGTCGACGACGACGAGAAGAGGCTAACAGCCGTGAGCCGATCGGCAAGGGAAGGAGAAATCAGCGGCGGCGGTGAGGATAGGCGACCAGCGGTGAGCCGATCGGCAGCACAACAATGGCGATGTGTATGTGTGTGTGAATCGATGCAATGTTCTTCACAGCAGCGGCGATGTGTATGTCAATGAGATGTGTATGTCAATGAGAAATTGAAATGTGTGGGTATTAGGTTTAATGGAGCAATTATTGTGTGTGTGTGTGTGTGTGTGTGTGTGTGTGTGAGAGAGAGAGAGAGAGAGAGAGAGAGAGAGAGAGAGAGTGTATAGCAAGTGAAATTTTTTTTAAAAAAACATAGATGGGTAGGCGGGTCAGGTCGGGTCGGGTTGACAGGCGGTTTGGAAAATTTAACCCGCCACCCGCGCCGACCCGCCACTGCAGGTCCTCCAACCCGCCGAACCCGCCCGCCAGAACTGAAATTTTGCGCGGTTCGGTGCGGTTCGAAGCGATTCGGTGCGGTTTTGGCGGTATTATGCACAACCCTAATAAGAGTTATGTACATTTGTTTGGGAAAAGTTTATTTATTTATTTATTTTCTTAAAAATAATAAAGTTAAAAAAGGTTTAAATTGTTGATAAAATGAAATATTAAATTTCTTAAAGGAAAATTTACCCATAAGTCCTAGTTTTTGAAACGTTGAACCATTTAGTCCTAAAAGTTTTCTTATGCTCCATTTAGTCCCATTTTTACATCAACATGATGTGAATGATGTAAATGATCTGATGTTTCATTCTATAATTTCAAAATTTATTGAAATCTGATGAACATTAGATGTTTTTCATCCTATATTTTCAAACATTATTGAAATTTGATGAACATTAGATGTTTGAAATCCAATGTTTGTAACATGACTCTGATGTTATTAACATTGTATCTGATGTTATTAACATTGTAATGGGACCTTTCAGTCTATAAGAAAACTTTTAGGACTAAATAGTGCATAAGTTATTAATTTGGGATTTATTGGTACATCCCCCTTTCTTAAAATAATAAAGTTAAAAAGGTTTAAATTGTTGATAAAATGAAATATTAATTAATTATTTTTTTTCTTACAATCATCTTTTTAATTAAAAAAAACACAAATCATTTTAAAATAATATTTTTATCTCATTAAATTGTTAAAAAAATTAAAAAACTAACTACAATAATCAAATTTCCAAACAAGACAGAGAAAAAAAAAATTGTAAGGATATACAGGATTAACTATAGTATCCAAGAGTGGTCTTTGAATACCATACGTGAAAAAAATTCATAACTATTAGATTTATTAGAATGATCTGAGCCATCCAATATACGACATGTTCACTTATTTTGTGGGTGTTTAATCAAACGTTGTTAATTTGTTTGGTGCACTTGCTGGATTATAAATTTAAATTGTTGAATAGTATTTGGTAAATAATCTATGTAATAACTTTTTAATGTGTAAATATCATTTTTATCCCTGTTAATTGTAAATTGAATCAACTTTTATTTTTTGTTATTCACTACTAGTCCATATTTCCTCAAAAAAAATTTAAAAAATAAAAGATTAATCGACGATCCATTTTTGTCTTTTTCTATTTTAAAAATAATAACAATAATAAAATAAATCTAAGAGTACAATCGTAAATTAATATGTCCATAGCAGAAGCTGATAATTAGAAACAGTGGGCGGACAACTTCTTAGAATCAATTTTTTAAGTTAAACTAAGACATTAGAATCAGAATCTGTTTGAAATAAATTTAATCAAACAATCCAAAGGATGAACAACTTCTCATAATCAATTTTTTTTATTTAAAATAAGTTATTAGAATTAAAAAGTATTTAAAATAAATTTAACAAAACAGTCCAAAATAACTTTTTCAAAACTAAAATTAAATAAGTTATTAGAATTAAAAAGTATTTAAAATAAATTTAACAAAACAGTCCAAAATAACTTTTTCAAAACTAAAATTTATGAGTTGGCTAAAATAATCCACACCAAACACCCTTTTATGACCGGTGCAAAGCAAAACTAGACTTTCTTTTTTCTCTCCAACATTGTTAATCAATTATATGATTTTTTTTTTTTTTGTTTTTCGTCGACATTTAGGGATGTAAATCTGGCTCGTGAGCTTGTGGCCCACCCAAAGCCCATCCACGGCCCAAGTAGGCTCGGCTCGGCTTGACTCGGGTCCAACTAAGACCTTGGGCCTGGGCCTGGGCCGTATGTTCTAGAGTCCTACTGTAATACCCCGAATAACGCCATTAACAACAATAATATTAGGCACCATCTTAATCAAAATTGAGCTATTCAATTATGCAAAATAATTAAAAATATAGTGAATAAGTTGGGTGCACGTAAATTCTTTTGTGAAATAATCATTAATATATATAAAAATATTTGATTGAATTTAATTACCTCAAATTATCAAGGAATAGAAATATAAATTAGTTAATAGAAACTAATTGGAAATTAATACAATTGGTTAGGAATATTAAGAGAAATACATATGTCAAAAATTATAAGACTCGGGAAAATTAGATTAATTTTAAAGCCTTTGTATAAATTTTGATGGATCAAATTAAGCTAAAGAATAACTTTGGACTTGAAATTGAAACGTTTGTACACCTTAGAAATATTAATTGAAAATCTTAATAACATTAATTTGATTTTTAGAGTATTTTGGGCATTTTAAAATCAATCAAAATTAACGAAATTACGTAAAATTAAATTTGCTTAATTGAGATTAATTTAATAATAGGAATCAAGAGTTAAAATTGATTGGAGCTAAACATTATTACTTAATTAGAAGTCATGTATATAGTGAATTGTTTAATAGGAGATTTTATTTTGAATTAGAAATTGAAAGTCTAGATGATTTAAGAAACCATAAGCGACCAGCTAAATTGATTTTGTTTAAGGTATAGAATCATATGAGAGTTTCATTAAAAATTTGATTCAGATTAATAAAATTTGGAATAATTAAATTAAGCGTTAATTGAAATTAATTAGATTAATTGAATTAAATACTAAACTTGATCAATTAGGTTCAAGAAATGATTAATTAAGTTAATGTGTAATTAGTAAGTTAAACTAATCAATTAATTATAAAAAGATGAAAGTTGGAGAAAGTTCTAGAATTTTGGAAATGAAATCAACGAAGGGATGTAATGAGCCTATTCATTTTCTTGGTTTTGGCTGGAGGAACCCGTAGGAGTGAGAGAGAGAGAGAGAATTCAACTTACTTGTGCTTGCTGGAAATTCACAGGAGAAAATTCACTCTAAGGAGAAGAAGAAAAGAAAGCTTAGGGAAAAAATAAGAATTGGGAGGGAACTCAAGAATTCAACAAGTTGAGGTAAATTTCTTATTTAATTCTTCTATATAATTCACCTAACACTTGCAATGAAAAAGGATTTAGGTTCAATTTCATGTAATTAAAAGAAATTAGCAAGAAGATAAAGAAAATTGAGTTAGATTTAAAATTATAGAAATAAAGTTGGAAATTAATTATTTTGGATTTGATTTTTGTAGTCTTGTATGAAATTGAGTTTCATTTTTACATGTATGAGTAAATCCTACAAATTTTGAGTTTTAATTAGACATGCATCATTGATTTCTAAAAGATTTGAAAGATTGATTTCATGTTTTGGAAATAAGAAGAGCAAAGTTTTGGAAAATTATGAGCTTATGAACATTTTGAGCTTAATCTTAAAATTAAAAGAGTTTTGATGTAAATGGTTTAAAATTGATCACGTTTTCTTGATTATTAAAGAGTTTTTTAAACAAGCCATGTATGAACCCAAGTTTTGAAATCATATTTTGAAAGTTTAATTCACATTTTAGAATCTATAAGTTTGAAATTGGGTTTGATATGAAGAACATAAATTAAATCCAAATTTGGATAAATTAAGAAATAAATTATGATTTAAATTTGACAATCAAGAATTGGCTTGATTTTGATTTGAATTTCATACATGCAAATGTTTTCTAAGGATTATACAATTTCAATTATTAGTTTTGACATGCAAATAATTTTCTAAGAGCTTGTAGCTTTAATTTCATGTTTTGTAAGAAAATAAAAATAAAAAAAAAGTATTAAAATCATTATATTCATGAAGTTTTGGTTTTAATCTTGACAAAACAAAGATGTTTTTGTATTAGAATTTGAAAATTAGTCATGCATGTTTAAATTGAGTCATGGGTTCATGTTTTTTTAATAAAATTACATGTTTAAATTGAGTCATGCATGAGCATAAGTTTTGAAAATCTATTTGGAAACTATTTTTACTGATTTTTGAAATCCAGAAATTTGCAGATCGCTCGAGCGGTCAAGTTACTGCTCGAGCGAACATTGAGGCCATCTAGAATATGTTTTTGCAGACCAAAGTATTGAGAACCCGTGATCACCGCTCGAGCGACCAAAGGTTCACTCAGGCGAACTACTCTATTTCGGGGATGTTTTGGAAAATTGTTTTAAGTTCATATTTTCGTTCTCATCTTTTCATGAGCATCTTTTAGTATGAGTTAAGCCTCATTAAGGAGTATTAAGTAAGAAATTCACATAAGTCAATTTGTTAAGAAAGAAATGCAAGAACTTAATTAAGAGTTAATTACAATAAAAACCCAACATAAGGAATTAGATTAGATAAAACGTGCTTGTTCGAATTATGTGCTTCAATGTGTATTTGTTATGTGCTTTGTGTAGGTTGGACACCTGAGATCTAGCATTCGTTCAAGTCCACTGTGAGTAATGTCCTTATAAAGATATGTTCGAAATATGTTTTGAAAATTGTTACATGATGATGATTTTGAAGTATTATTTTATATGAATGAATGAATGTCCCTTTTTGAAAAGTATTCACGGCAACTTTAGTGAAGCCCTCGCCTATAGGAAACATGGCCTTTTGATTAATGGAATAGGCCCTCGCCTAGGGAAAACAATACCATAACCCTTTGATTAATGGAATAGGCCCTTATCTGGGGGAGACAATACCACGGCCCTTTGATTATGGAATTACAGAGATCTATGATGCTGACCCAAGTGGTCCCTTCGTTAGACCTTTATGGTTCCTTTGATTTAGGCCTTCGGGCCCCTTCGTTTCTCTATTGGATGTACCACGTATAATGTTTCAATACGGAATTGCAATTTGGAAAGTGCACTGTTTGATTTCGATATATATGTCAATTGAAAATGTATGAATTTGATATGGCAAATG